GCCCAGCTCCACACCCACAACACCCAACACCCAGCTCCACACCCACACCCTCAACACCCAACCCCAGTTCCACATCCGCACCCTCAACACCCAACACCCAGCTCCACAGCCCCACCCACAACACCCAACGCCCAGCTCCACACCCCCACCCACAACACCCAACACCCAGTTCCAATGCCCCGCCCACAACACCCAACGCCCAGCTCCACACCTGTATCCACAACACCCCAATCCAGTGTCACTCACGTTCCAGTGAAAACTCTGCGGCACCTCGTAGGGCCCTTAGATAAAGTGCTAACTCCTCAGACACAGCACTTGCTCTAGGTCACACACCATGAGATGCAAAAAGGAGAGTTTTAAAAATATTAACTCACTTGACCAAGTTTACACACCACATAGGAAGTGAACCTAAGATCTGAACCCAGGTCTGCCTGGCTCTAGGGCTCATTCTCTCGAGCACTGGAGCCTCCCTGGTGGCTCACAAGGCCCCTCCCTGAACTGGACCTGCTCACTTTGCCTCCAGTCAAATGCGTGTCCCCCACATCCTTGACCTTGCCGCGCACCCTTTCACCTGCCGCTGACTCTTCACTGTCTCTAGGTCTCTGCTACACTGGGCACACACCACCTTTGGTCTGCATGCCCCTCTACACAGAGCTGTCTTGCCCACCCGTTTCTCCATAGTCTAGTATCATGCTTTGTAACAGGAAGCACTAAAAATATTCTGATCCCAAACCTGGCAGGTATAAAGAAGGGCCAACGATGGTGTGGCCACTGTGAAAAGTGTGGAGGGTCCTCAAAACACTAAAACTAGAGCTGCCATACACCAGCAACTCCACTTCTGGGTATTTATCCAAAGAAAACAAAAACACTAATCTGAAAAACTACACGCACCCGTGTTCACTGCAGTGTTCTCTGCAACAGTCAAGACATGGAAGCAGCCTTGTGCCCCTGACAGACGAGTGGGTAAAGAGGTGCGTATACAACGGAATACGACCCAGCCGTAAAGAGGGAACGAGACTCTGCCACAGCAACAGCGTGGATGGCCCCAGAGGATCGTGTGCTCAGTGAAACAGGTCAAGACAAATACCGTATGATTCCCTTATGTGTGGATCTAAAACAAAACAAAACAGAAAGGAAAACAGACAGAGAAGCAGAGATCACACTGATGGTGCCAGGGAGGAGGGGCGGGGATGCACGGGAAGGTGAAGAGGAAGAGAGCTGACGATGGTGCGGTAACTGCCCGGGACAGACGGCTAGACGGTGAGGGGAGAGCAGTGGGCGATACACAAATGTCAAAGCACTGCACCGCGCACCTGAAACTAGCACAAACAGGAGGGACGCAGACTCCGAGGAAAGAAACTGCCTTTCACAGAGGACGCGGCACCTCCGTTACTCACAAAGGTAGGCAGCGTTCCATCCACATCACGCGCAGGGCACTGCAGGCAGACCGGGGCGGGGTACGGCCCCTTCAGGTTTCTCACCACCCCTTACAGCCTCCACGCCCAGCCTGTGCTTTATCCAGCCTTCCTGTCTTACTAGTGTCCTTTTCCTGTCCCACACTTCAGCCAGGACATGTCCCATCTAGTTGCCGTGTCCCCAACCTTCCTCTGTGACAGCTTCTCAGACTGTCCTTGTCTGTGACGACCTTGTAGGGTCTGAGGCACTGTGGTCAGGGATCTGTAGACGGCCCCCTTACTGGGTTTGGGGATGTTTTCCTCATGATTCCACTGGGGCCATGGTGCTCTGGGAGGGAGACCACAGAGGTCGTTTTCATCAGTCACGGCACATTGAGGGGACACACCGCCAACCTGACATCACGGTTGCAGGTTCCCCACTGTGAAGCCCCCCTCCTCTCCAGAAGGACGTCCTTGAGGGTGAGAGCCTACATAGATTACGTGGAGTCTGTCATCTCTGATTTATTACTTATTCAATCACTTATTTTTATCAGTATGGACTCAGATACCTTATCCTCTGGCTGTAATCCAGCATTACTTTACTTATGTCATTGCTCAGGCTGCTTCAGGCACTGGGAGCCCTTTCAGTTGACTCCTGCCCCGTGTGTGTGTGTCTGTGTGTCTATATGTGTGTGTGCATGTGTCTGTGTTTGTGTGTCTGTATCTTTGTGTATGTCTGTTTGTATGTGTGCATGTGTCCGTATGTGTGTGTCTATGTGTGTGTGTGTCTGTGTCTTTGTCTGTACATGTCTGTTTGTACGTGTGTGTCTGTATGTGTGTGCATGTCTGTGTATTGCTGTGTGTCTGTATGTCTCTGTGTGTATAAAGAGTTGCGTGACTTCCTGGCACTACAAGACGCTGTAGGTTTATCTTGTATATTTTCTGCTCCAGTTCTAGAATCTGCCATTTCTCCAAGGAGCCCTGGTTCCTTCCATTAGAGAATGGTGTTAGAAACCAAGATCTGGATGCTGGGTATATATTAATAGTAAGTGAAAAATCCACGGCAATCCTCAGTGGGGATACGCTCCTGTGACTCCCACGCCAAACCCATTGGTTCCGCCTGTGCTGCTCTGCCTGGCCAGGGGACACAGCACCTTTCAGGACGGCAGCTGAGTCTGCGTCGAACAGCAGCAACACCCTCTGTGTCTGCTGAACTGAGTGCAGTTAAGAAAGGGTCCCTCCTTTCTTTGAATTTCCACGGAGCATTTAGAACTCTGACTTGTGCCATTTGACAACAGTCTGCACCTTATCTGACTACTCAGCACAGATCCCACAGACAGGTTAAGTAACACAGGAGCACACTCTGAGGAAAAGGGCAAGTCTCAAATGACTGTTCCCAAGAAGTCTTCAAATAAGAACACATTTATCAAGCACCCATGGTCTTTACAAATTAGAAATGGAAAGACTAACAAAGTAAACATCACTTAGGTGTCTCAATTTAGACTTTTCCCAGAAGATGTTGAACTTGAGATTATTCTACTCCATTAATCAGCATTCCTTTTTTAGATGTTTTCAAAATTAAAAATAAATCTAAAATATCTAGTAGCAAGTACAGAAAGGGCTTAATGGAAAATTACCTTATTGTTTATACCAGATCTAAGGGAACATCTCCTAAGATGGGTTCATTTTCAGAATCCGTCTAAACTGATCCCGAACTCGTGCTCTCTCCGTCTCTCTGTCTCTATCTCTGTCTCT